ATCGGCCTTCTTGAAGCCGTAGCGATATCGAAAAGGGGCATTCAATCGCTAGCGAGGTAGTCTCCCGCTTCCGCGTAGGGCTATTCGGGCTGTTTCTTAGCCGGCGGCCCCGGTCACAGCATAGGCGAACTATCTTTAGGACCCCTTTCTTTGTACGTTTCGACCGAAGAGTTGAGACTGCGTAGCCATGCTGGCGGCCGAAGATATTGATCGCGACAATTCCTTGCTTAGGCGTATCGTACTGCTGAGGTAAAGGAGGCAGCGGGAAGGTGTAGGACTCGGGAATAGCGTCATGGAGGCTTGGCGGCGCGTGATGGAGGCTTGGCGTCGCGTCATGGAGGCTTGGCGGCGCGTCATGGAGGCTTGGCGGCATCGGCGGGGACTCGGGAATAGCTTCATGCTCAGAATCGGACGGCGAATCAGGCTGTGAGGAAGCCATTGTAAAAAGCAATAAAATGCGAGAGAAATGGGTGGAAACATGGGAGGTTTGAAGGTGTAAACAACAATTATTTTGGATTTCTTGTTGGGTACTACAGTGGTACAGGAGTGACTTAATTTTACTAGCGATTTACATAGTAATTTGAGGTACTAAGGTGTGATATACATGCAGGGTAGTGGTAGCAATAAATAAAAGTTCGAGGATGAAAGCGGTGAGAAAAGCGGTCAGTAAATGCCTGAATCCTCAGGCAGGGAGGGGGTGTTAGCATCCAAAGGGGGGGTGTCTGTATCAATCCCCTTTATTTATTGATTCTCTTTTTCTTTTCGTCATCCGGGATCCATAACTCCATCACCATCGGCTGGCACTTTAAACCCAGTGCCGCAATCTGGTCCGACCGTAGTTACTTGGGACTAGCGATGGAGCATCAGACTTAAGCAATCTCTTTCTCAGGGTGTATGCTTCATATAGACATATTAAAGATTCACGGATGTTCACATAATACTGGAGGTGCGGCAGTGGAGGCGCTCCGAATGTCGTAGGGGTGAAGCTGACCGGCCAAAGATGAATGAATGGAGACTAAAAGAAAAACAATAATCGTATATGTGGCGAAAGTACATATTTGCAAGTCCCCAGAAGCTTAAATACATCCATTCTCAAGTCCCGTTGCAGCATCTTTATCTGCTGAGCCACGCCAATACCCCGTCGCTCAATATATAGTCCTCGAATAGCTATTCCAGACAGAATGAACGTTATAGAAAGCAGACGGCAGTTGGTATTGATCGGGATCTGTGATATGAAGCTCATCGAACATCCTTTGAACAGCCATCAGTATCCCGTATTTCCAATATTAATGACTTCCGGTTTAAATACCTGGTTTAAATACCTTAGAAGCAAGTCGGGCAGTCACAGTCGGAGGGAAATGAATTGACGCTGCAGCAGTTGGAAAATGCTTCCAAGTAGTCCGAGATTGAATCGGCCTGGCAATCTTCACCATACTGGAAAGTTCCGCTCACTTCCTCGCAACACTTCTGGGTTGTGCTGGGATCATCCAGCCCACCACCTCTAGTGCACTTGCAAGCATAGGCGGGAACGGAGAGCGCGGTAACGGTCACTAGAATAAGATCGAAGAACCTCATTTTGATATTTTTGACTGTGGGTTTGTAGGGGGTAGTGAATAGATGATAAGAGTCGATGTTGGCCCATGATTGAGGATACTTGAGAGCTACTATATATACTGGATAGGCTTTCCCGCGATTGAGCTCGTTGAGTGGTAGCTCGTCTTGGACACACGCTAGACCAATAGAAGGTGACCTGGCCCCTGCTGAAGGATTGCATAGTCACGACTTGTACTGTCGGTATTCCCGGCGGTCAACTGTAATTTGCGAGAGGGCAGCATCATGTTCTGGACAATTTCCGAGGAATCCTTGAAGATCTGAAGCTATATTCGTTTCTCTTATCGTCGTTCCATCTCGTATCGGGTGGAGTTGCCCCATAATATAGGGCTTTATCTTGAGGGGTTCCTTGGCATGGGGCGCAGCTCACGGCTTGGCACTCCCGTCAAATCCAACGCTTGTTGAAACGTCAGGCTCAGGTTAGCAGATAATTTGACAAGATCGTTGATTTTACATTGGGTCTCGAAAGTCTCGCAACATTTTCGACTGTCGTTCCTCCAATATCAGCCTATGCTTCTACACGTCTTTCTTCTTCCATGCCCTATCGATATTATCGATATAGAGAGACTTTTCGTTGGCTGATATTGGTAGAGCCCATCGGTTTAGGATCAGCTGTCCTAAAACATTTGGACGGGATGTACTATAATTCCCAATCTCTAGGAAGAGCAACCCCATTGATGATCGCTTTCGTTACACTTTTCTAGTGAGGAGGACTTCCTTTCCCGGAAAGTGGCAAGTGGCCGAATCAATCCGATACTTCCTGATCTGTGAATCTCTCATGTTTTGGCTTCTGGTTTTCTCTTTATAGCGGGGTATGCCGGGGTATGTCCCATATCAGAAGGCTCGATCCTAGATCCTTCCTAGACAAATTGTTAAGAACACGTGTAGGTGATCCCTGCTTCTTTTGTAGTATAAGCCGGAGATGTTCCTTCAAAGCCGTGAATCCTTCAGCTTGTGGGACCTTTGCCACCTTTGCCACCTTTGCCCATTTTGAGTATAACGTCGGGCGTTAATATCTGCATCTACGGAGACTTTCTTTCTAGACAGACAGGATGTTCAATATCCGTAACTTATTTAAAGGAAAAGAATCCGCATCCAAAAGCTTTACTGTCTGAGCGTCCACCATCATCTACGAGTCTATATTATCTACGTTCAGTCCGTTTTTCCTTTGATCCATTATCTTTGCAACCTCTTACCTCCCAATATGCGGTTCTTCAATCTTGTTCTTGTCACCGTTACTGCCCTCTCGGTTCCAGCGTACGCTTGCAAGTGTCTTGTAAACGGCGATCTGGATGTCCAGAGAACCGAAAGCTGTTGCAACGCATTGGGTGGAAATTTCCAGTATGGCGATGACTGTCAAGCTGATTCGATCTCCGATGGTCTGTCGATCTTCGATAACTGCTGCGGTAGCGTCTCCACTACTTCCGGCTCGGACTGTGCCTGCCCCCACTGTTAAGGTAGGGAAGATAGAGACTGACATACTGGGTGTGGATTGTACTAACATAACAATTGAAAGGTTCATACTCCTCTTATCCCAACCAACACACTTGGCTCACAAGTCACCTGCGCCAGCCTCAGTCCAAACCGCGCATAGCCCAGAATTCTCTCTGTTGTGTTGTGCAAATATAGCCCATCATGTGGTTGAGATGGGTTCTGAGACTGTTGCCGTGATCAAAGGGAGGAGAAAGGATAGGGCATGACGCTAGACGGCTGGGTACTTCCGATAAAATGTAAGTAGAGCATTTGCACGGGGATAATTTCCAATGGTGCGGTTTTTAATAGTAGTTCGTAGAAGCAATGCACAGCACATCACACGTAACGTTCTCTGTATTGTAGTTTGGAAGTTCTTAGGGTATACGCCACACTAATCAAATAGGTCCCGAGCAACCACTTAAAACGCTCCTCTCAGCCCGCACGAGGCGAAAAAACAAGCAACGATCGGCGCGCCAGTCACAGCGGGGTCCCTGATTCACCCTGAGTTATCTTATAATGTGCTATATTTTGACGTCTTGACACCTCCATGGCCCATGTTCCAACATGTTGAGGCGATACAGGACCTCGCTGAGGTCTCTGGGCCAGCAGAAAGCTGTTTTCGTGCTAGCCGTCGTCATTGTCATCGTCCTCATAAACACACTTATCCCGCTCCGGTTCGGATTGAACGCTCGTGATAAGCGGCTGCACAGCGAAGACCGGCCGCGATACCTTCATCACTCAACATTTCGAGCAGAACCTGACTATCGCTACGAGACCAAGCTGTCGAAGGCGCTGCGCGAGCTGGAGATAGAGGGCCAGCTCCGCGGCAATGCGACCGCACCCCGGACGCTGTGGCAGATCATGCTGGGGCAAACCGCGGGCGCGCAGCAGCGAGGCGAAGATTCCATTCTTTTTCAGGAGAAGAATTCTGACTGGGAATATATGGTATGGACATAGGATAATTTTGCACTCAGCTATTGCAACCCTTGCGCATATGGTGCTGACTTTATAATCAACAGCTCGTGACAAGCGAATGGGCTGACAATTTTGTCACTGAAACTCTGGCATCCATTCCAGATCTGGCCTATCTGTACAAAACGTACCCACACAACGTACTTCGTGCCGATCTGCTTCGCTACCTTATACTATGGTATTATGGTGGCTACTATTCAGATATGGATATCTTTCCGGCGCGGTCTATCAAGTCGTGTCCCGCGTTACGAGATGCGGGATTCACTGATACTGTAGACCCAGATATATCACTAGTGGTCGGAGTGGAGATTGATGAGCCTTTTGCGTCACCCCAGAAGATGCATGATTGGCACTGGGTCCGAAGTTATGGCTTTGTTCAATACACCATGTATGCACCACAGCGCTTCAGCCCACTTCTTAGGGAAATCATCGTCCGTGTGCTGTCACACACTAGACGTCACATCGACCAAAGCAACTTTTTCTTAGGTGCTAGGTACAATGAGCTGGCTACTTTAGAAATTACCGGACCCGGGGTGTTCACAGATGCCGTCTTGGATGTCCTTTCTGACACTCTTCCTACCACCCATCCTCTCATCCAAGAATCTGTGAAAGCTGACGCGGGCCTTGGAGATATGGTCCCTTCGTCGGGGGCTTCTCCTATTCAGCGCGTGACATGGGCACCCTTCTACCGGCTTAAATTGCCTCGCTGTATCAAGGGGTCCGATGCAAAACTAGGAAAGCAACTGGGAGGTCTGTGCGTCCTTCCTGTGAACTCGTGGGGTAATGGACAAAGACACAGCGAAGCTGAAGGATTCGATAATCCCCAAGCCTGCGTGAACCATCGCTTCGGGGGAACTTGGAAGCCCTGGAAACAGAGCTGGCAGAAATACCTGTTGGGGTAAAGTTCTGTCACGAACTTCATATTCTTTTCACTTTTTAAGTTAGGAAACTCTCTTTCGGCGCTCGTTTTGACAACTGTATATACGATGATTCGGATGCACCATTTGCTGCCCTTAGCAACCAAGCCTTACATTTTATGATATCATGTAAACCTCTCTCTATTTTGATGGGACCAGAAGGAACCTAACGGAACCTATAAAGGAACTTGCAGCGCGGAGTAAGCTTCATTCACACCATGTCTCGCCATCAAAGCTACTTTGGCATTCGCTTGTATTTTAGCTCAGATTCTTCAACTCTTGAGTCAATTATATAACACGCATTATTTTGGACCTTACGGGTATAAGGGAGAGTAGAATTTAAGCTGATACTAGTTTAATGGCGCATCGTTTTGCCGGATATTCAGCCACATGGAGAAAACAAGAATTCGACGATCGCTCACTTGCAAACCTTTAGGTGAGTAATATTCCAAGTGTGCTAGCTAGGCAGTTGCTTCCAAACTGCTTTGGTTACTAGCCAAGTAGGAGCTGGTTGCGTATTGCCGTTCACAGTAATATATAATGCATTCTGTCAGAGACGTTTTTGGCGGAGGAACTGTCATGTTGTCCGGAGTATAGGTCAGCTGAAGGGAGTAGTTTGCCGTAATAAAAGAAACAATAGGACTCTGAATGCCGAAACTTGGTCCGTTCTTTCTTGGACGGGAAGTCCAATAATTCAAATCAAATGTCGACTCGTCAGAGTCAGTTTCCACGAGACCAACCCCGTCAAGTAATGGAATAGGAATGAGAAATTATTTGGAGATGTGTAGATGCAATTGATAGGGATTTCCTTGAAGACCGGGTCCATAGTACTCAAGAGCAATGAGCCTTCTGTGGATCAAACGAGATCGCCAGATCTTTCCTCATAACCTCGACAGCCTGCCAGAATATCCAGAGAGCCGATCGCGACCGGAGGCGGCAGGATTACCGTCAACATTGTCCCCAAGTTGAGTGGGTTGTCGAGGGGTTTGGTCGTCCAAATGTTCAATTTGATGTTATTGGAATGACCGTTGGCAAAGTTTGTACATGCAGTAAACTGTTGTATACATGCACCACTACGATATCTACCTAGTATCTGACATTCAAACAGCAGAGCCAAGGAGATATGGACAGTGTACACCTTCATGATCTTCAATTACCCGAGACTTGACCGCTACGTGGGCTCCATGAGGCGGTTGGCAGGGCAACGGGTCAAACGCATCAAAGCAAACCCGCAACGGATAAGTTTTATGACTTTTCACACTCATCACTATTCGACATATGCTTAATCGAGGGGTTATATTCCCACTTGCATCCTTTGATTGACATCGCATTAATGCGCCCTCGATAACTCGACTTTACTGGACATACACCCCATACACCCCACCGCCAAGTTCCAACGGTTTTTTGACACATTCCACGCGTCAACAATGGAAAACATCCCTCCCTCGCAGGCGCAAGCCGGGTATGTGATTTCTACCCTCCATACTTTTTGTTCCTACAGTATCTACTGCTTCAAAAATAAGCGCGCCTGGGAAGCCCCTCATTCAGGGGTAGTTCCCTCCTTGTTTTGATCGCACACACAAACCAGCGCGTAGTCCCAGCGCTGACAACAGCATTCTATAGCGACTCTACCAAGCCTGCCCCCGACAATTCTTTCAGATTCACGCCTATCAAAGCCCTAGGCGCCCTGCCGCGTCTGTGGGATCGAAAACCCTCAACTCCTATTCGTGCGGGCGACAAGACTCGCAAGTTGTGGAAGCGCATTCGCTTCCCTTTTAGCAACATGAACGCGACAGAAAGCCGAGGCACATCTATCGGTGCCTCGAACAACTCGGATTATCAGCGCGGCGTTAAGCGCCAGTGTGTGGATCCTACCCAGTCGGCGGACCTCGAAACTGACGCTGAACAACGTGGGCGGTCTTTCCTGGAGACCAAGTGGGAAATGGAGGCATCACGCAAGCGACGTGAGTATTCTTTTTGCAAAGGGTTTATACATATCTTTTGCGAACCCCGTTTGGTAGGCTTTTATCTGACAGTCTCACAGGCAAATTACCGGAATTCAATTTCAACATTCACGACGAGACCTCCCAGGGCGTTTTCAATTTCGCCGCTCAGGCCGAAGCTGCCAATAACGCCCACCAAGATGCAGCTATCAACGCCTCACCGCAGCCACTCGGTCTGTTTTCGGTCAAGACGCCCGTTTACAATGATGCCATGGACATGGGCCTCGATGGTGCAGCGTCACCCAAGCCTGCAGATCTACAGTCTGGACCGGTCCAGGAGGCAGGTGCAGTGATCGACAATGCAGCACCCGCTGAGGCCGTCGAAAACCTGACGCAAGAGCAGGAAGTCAAATTGGTGCGATCGGCATTGCGCAGCTCTTTGGACGGGGAGGATGCAGAGCTGTTGAATGACTTCTTATCGAGGGCCAAGGCGAAGCGTGCAGCCAAGGCGGCGCAGACCGACTCTGAGGTGACTGAGCAGTCTTCCAGCCCGGAGGAGCCTGAGATCGAATGCTCAACCCCACGATCGCGTCGGGCGTTGGAGGAGCTGACTACGAATTCTCCTTCCCCTATCAAGTTGCAGATCTCGCCTAGTAAATTCGACATTGCCCGTGCCGAAGCCCAGAATGAGGTTATCAAGGACCTCCAGGAAGAGACTGCACCTGCAAGTCCTACCTGTCGTCGCAGTACTCGCGCCAAGGCCCCGTCCACAAATGCCCCTGCTCTGCGCAACACTATCGCGCTCCGCCGTGCTAAAGGAACGGAGTTCATTTTCCTGCAGCGCACCGAGGCCCAGGAGGTGGCTTTGGCCACGAAGCGAAACACGCGACTCAACAAGGGCAAATCTGTATTCCCTAATGTCGCTCTTGAGATTCTGGCTCAGCGGTCAGAGGAGCCTGAAACCAATGACAAGCAGGCGCGCTCAGACCGCAAGGGCCCTAGCAGCCGATCTACCAAGCGGAAGCAGGTTTCATGGAACGAGGAGCGCATGGCCGAGTATGAAGAATACAAGGACTTCACAGATGATCAAGAGGAGGGTGAGAGATGCACCAGTGACGTCGGCGCTACGCCTCGCCGATCTGGCAGCAAACGTTCGGAAAAAAAAGTAGCAGCCAGTGACCGCAGCAGCCGTAGCCAAACACAGGCAGACCGGGGTGTGGACGGTGGGCCAGAAAGCGCCCCGACCGCCCCTACTGCACCCGCTACTGCACCCGCTACTGCAACCCCGCGCTCGCGCCGGGTGAGGCGTTTGGGCGATTCGGGGGCTATGGGCTCCGGTACTCCAGTGAAGACTGGTGGTCGCACAAGCAAGCCTCCCGCAGCCTCGGCGCCGGTGGCTGCGGGCCCCTCCACACCAACCAAGGGTCGCCGCAAGCTGACGCCCAAGTCTCCTAGCATGTCCACGTCCATGCTCCCTGCTACAGCCCAAAGTGGTATCCCCACTCGGAGCAACAAGGAGAAGAGTATGCTCCAGGCCAGCGCAGGGTGCACACCCACAGCTCGACGGGTCCGATCAAGATCTTAACCTCAGGGTGTTCATATAGAAGACTTCCATCTTGCCGCGTGGCGTCTTTCTTGATCCTCTCTATATATGCAAGGAGTTTTGTCCTTAAGATACCAATTGCCTGTTTTGCTTCGTTATTTTCTTCTATACGCATTCGTTTCGAATACATTTTGATTCTCGTGAAAACCCTTCCCCCTTCGCCTTTCCCTTTCGATCTAGATAAGATCGTGTAGCACGGCCCAGCCGCCTTATGCAGAGTCCATGCAGAATGACGTCTGTGCCGCTACGCACGAACTTCAAACTTCACTTTCGGGGTTTGCCCGAGTAACCTTCCTCGGACTAGTCATCCAATAGTTCCAATAGTTCCAATTTGGGAAGGTTCCCCTACGTATCGCATGCTCGGGTCAAGATCCCGATATGTATGCACCTAGCCGCTTTGACTTGAGGGATATTGCGGGCGGGCCAGCGCGTTTGTAGTCTGTTCTTTGCGATGATCCCTCGTGTCAGAGGCTTGCCCTTTTGCGTTTGATTTGCCTTCCCGCCAATTAGACGGCGTTGCTGCCCTTGCTAGGGTGGTTTGTGGCTTGATACGTGTATGTATACCCGGTACGTGCTGATCTTTCAGCATTGCAAATTTGCGTACTTGTACGAAGTATACAGTAGGTACAGGTGTTTCTGCATTGATCAGCGTTTTTATATTTACATAACGTTGACTAGTATAGTCATGTCTATGTACAATGCAATGTAATGCACGATAAGTATAACTTATTACCAGTCAAATGCATACTAAAATGTACATGCACCAGCCTCAAATATATCCTAGCCTACCTCCATCTAGTATGGACAACAGACGTCACCAGTCCCAATCCCAATCCATTGGCAATGCCAGTAACCACTACCCGGTCCAATACAACCCACCGAAGTCCTCCCGGCTCAGCAATCGGGATCCCCGATCTGAATTCGGCATCGGAGAGTATTAGAACCCGAACTTCAACCGGCAAAACAAAAACCACGCATCTAGCAGAGTTTGGTCGTGGTTAGCGCATACTACTGTTCACTAGAGTAAGATGAGGCATTAAATCTAATGGACAACACAGAAGGCAGAAAGCAAAGAGGAAGTGGGCTACGTAGATATTCACCCAATAGCAAGTAACGAAAGTCAAAGCTAGAGAATAGAATGAAACATTAGGTAACATGTAAAAACAATAAATAATATTATAATAATATTCTGAAATTCCAGGTACCAGGTACATACCCCCCAACCATGGAATACACCCTCAACCCAAGTACCGAGTACAACCGCTCAAAAACAGGGCACATGTCAACTCTATGCCCCTCCAACCCCCTAACCCCTCCAGCACTACCCGCCACACTAATCACACTAATACTAACCACTAACATACCAACCAACCAACCAAACCACTCACATAAAATGAAACACACCCATAACCCAATTCGGCCTCTCGGTGTTCCCATACAAAACACGGGCTAGCGCTCCGACATCTCCCGGGTCTACAGTCAGCGCTCTGCACTAAACCGAAAGCGGCTAAGCGCGCGAGAATTGCTGAGCCCGGTTAAGTGGCGCAGGGGCTGCCACAGTTTGAAATGTAAGTTAGATGACATCGTTTGCATCGGAGCACTCTGCTCCTTTTTGTTTCGAGGGTGATGTGTTATCCGCTTTTGTATGGTGCTGTTACTTGTACATGTATGGAATTATGTTAGGGTTGGGTTTTGCTTCTTCCCGGTGTTACCTTGTTCCTTTCCCCCTTGCCTCTTTTTTTTTTTTTGGTATCCGGCTTCGGCTTGATTGTCAGGTACGGTGTAACGTTAACCCTATATATGTACCTTGTGTGTACATCGCTTTGCCATTGACATTGGACTGTTTTACACGGTGGTTGTCCAATGCCATGAACTGAATTACAGATACATGTACTCCATGTAAATGCAAATGTAACATCTCGTACTCTGTAATCTTCTTCCAGGTTTGTGATTGACTCTCAATTATTGGACCCCTTTGCGCTAGTGGATCCTGAGGTGGAATGCGAGAAGGCTGTGGCAGCCGGTGTGTGAAGGGGTGATTAGTTTGGGAAGGACCCGTCCAACCTTCCAAGGTTGCCGAGCTATACGAAACTGTGAAACTACGGTGGAGAGAATGAGGCTTGTTTGAGATGTAGGTATATCCAATTCATCTAACAGAGTTTAACAGAGTTCGTAGTCCGTTCATTACACATTTCCTCCATTTTATCTAAAGAGACAGACCCTTGGCAGTCTCCTCGGGCCAGAGATCGTAACCGAAGGTATCCTTCATGTTGACGAAGCGGCAGTGACGGCCCTCGGCAACCTTGTTGACAGCCTCAAAGTCCTCGTCGCTGAGCTCGATGGTCTTGAAGTTGGACTCGATACGCTTGGGGTTGGAGGACTTGGGGAGGACGCTGTAGCCACGGCGGAGACCCCAGGCAATGAGGACCTGGGCCAGGGTGTTGCCGCCCTTCTCCGCGACCTGGTTGAGGGTCTTGTTCTCGGCGACACGCTCGCCGGTGGTGGGGACCTGGTTCTGGGAACCCAGAGGCGAGTAGGCCTGGGGCAGAATGTTCTTGGAGAAGCAGTAGTCGACCAGCTCGTTGTTGGGCAGGAAGGGGTGGATCTCAATCTGGTTGACCATGGGCATGACCTTGGCGTACTTGGTCATGGCCTCGAGCTGAGGGATGGTCCAGTTGGACACACCGATAGCACGGGCCTTGCCGTCGGCGTACAGCTTCTCCATGGCGCGCCATGTCTCCTCATGGTTCTCAGTGAGGTCCTTGAGGATCACGTACTGTATACCGGGTTAATTGGAGCTCGCGTGCTCGGGGGGGAGCTTATTTACCTTTCCATCGGGGCCGATCTTGGGCTCCTCCTGGGTCTCCTTCTCCGCGGCAATGGGCCAGTGAACGAGGAAGAGGTCGACGTAGTCGAGCTTCATCCGCTGGAGGGAGTTCTCAATGGACCAGAGGACGTCATCGTAACGGTGCAGGTGGTTCCAGACCTTGGTGGTCACGAAGATGTCCTCACGCTTGACGGAGGGGTTGGCAGCGAGGAAATCACGGATTGCATCACCCACCTCATCCTCATTGAGGTAGAACCAGGCGCAATCCAGGTGACGGTAGCCAGTGTTGAGAGCAGCAGTGACGGCGGCGTAGGTCTCGCCCTTGGAGCCCTCGCTAGCGAAGGTACCGAAACCGACGGCGGGGAGCTTGACTCCGTTGCTCAATGTGCAAGTCTTTCCAGAAGACATACTGATATGATAGTTTGTAGATAGCAAATAGAGGAAGAGGAGAAAGAGAGGTTCTGAAGTAGAAGAGAAGTGGGTGGAGAGCTCAAGCGATGACGAAGGTGGGGTGGAGGGGTAATTATAATTATTATAATTTAATTATTTGACTATTTTACTGTAACCGGCTTAGAAGCAGCCACCCATGTTGAAGTGCAGACTACGGAGTATAGTTCTTTGATGTAGCATCCCCGTGTCGATCCCAGAGCATCAAACATGTATACATGTAAATAATATCGCTTTTAGTATTCAATGGCTGCAATGAGGCCAATACACAAATACTAATACACCATACCATACCTGACCAGACGGTAATTTACACGATGACATCACCGAAACGGTCGACCCGCCCGATCGTCATCCTCCCATCTCTTCCCATCTCCGGCCCACGAACTGCGCTCTCATCCAATCATCCTCAGACCTCACTATTCCTTCTTCGGTCCGCGATGCCCAATCAACCGGTTGCTTTACTTCTTATCCCGTGTATTGGGTACTTGGTCAGACACCGTGTCAGCCACAATGACGCAGGTACTCTGTACATCCGTCTTGCACCATGGTCCACCCTACCGCAACTACTATCTTGCAAAATGATGACGATAATTCCTAGGGATGATGATACCCGAGTGGATCCTCTGTAAATGGCATACCAATCTCGGTATTCTCCTGTTCAGGTGTATATATATGCTGAAGCCCTCTCCTGACTTTTTTTTTTTAATTCAGTTTCATCCTCATCCTTCAATTCTTCCATTGAGTCCTGTGTCAGTGACTCTTAAGTAGAAGCCACCCTCTCTCCCTTCTACTTTTTTATTCCAATTACCCCACCTTCACCATGCCTCGCTTCGACGACGCCGACCTTGGAGTCGATGCTCCCCAGGATCCCCGCCAGAGCGATGCCCACGGCGCTCTCTCTCCCCGGGACCAGCGTGCTGGCTCTGGTTTGGCTATTCCCTCGGAAACCGGCAACACCATTGAGATCCCCGCTACCCGCAGCTCCATCAGTGATGCCGCCTCTTTCATGCACAACCTGAGCTTGGCTCCCTCGATGAAGGACCGCCGCGGCTCGCGTAACTCCTTCGGCACATCTCTCCCCATTCCTCGCTCTCCTCGTCTCTCTCGCCTGTCCTCCGTGCAGAAGGCTAGCCGTCCTTCCGTCTCCCGGGATATCCTGGCCTCTCAGGTCCAGGATATGTCCGCTGAGAAGGTTGCCAAGGCTAAGAACATGGCTTTCGCCTTTGACATTGACGGTGTGCTGGCACACGGTAACCACGCCATTGAGGAGGCCAAGGTTGCCCTCAAGATTCTCAACGGTGACAACGAGCTCGGTATCCGCATCCCCCACATTCTCCTGACCAACGGTGGTGGTAAGACCGAGGAGGCCCGCTGTGCTCAGCTCAGCGAGATCCTCGAGCAGCCCATCTCCACCGACCAGTTCATCCAGTCCCACACTCCCATGCAGGCCTTGGCTGAGTACTACGAGACTGTTCTGGTCCTTGGTGGTGAAGGCTTCAAGATCCGCGAGGTTGCCGAGAACTACGGCTTCAAGCACGTCGTTCACCCCAAGGACCTCCTCGCCTGGGACCCCTCCATCTCTCCCTGGGCCACCCTCACCGATGAGGAGCGCGCTCAGGCCAAACCCCGCGACTTCTCCAAGGTCAAGTTCGATGCCATCATGGTCTTCGCCGACTCTCGTGACTACCAGACCGACTTCCAGGTCATCATGGATCTCCTCCTCGCTGAGGACGGCAAGCTCATGACCAAGGCCAAGGATCCCGTCGCCACCCGCATCCCCATCTACTTCTCCCAGGGTGATCTCCTCATGCCCACTGAGCACAAGGGTCTTCCCCGTCTCACCCAGGGTGCCTTCCGTATTTCCGTGGAAGCCCAGTACAAGACCCTCACCGGTGTCGACCTTGAGCGTGTCGTCTACGGTAAGCCCGAGCGTGCTACCTACACCTACGCCGACGAGGTCATGAAGTCCTGGATGGAGGAGCTCCACGGCGAGGCCCGCCTCCCCGAGAACATCTACATGGTCGGTGACAACCCCGCCTCCGACATCATCGGTGGTAACATGTACGGCTGGAACACTTGCCTTGTCCGCACCGGTGTCTTCCAGGGCGGCCCCGGCGAGAACGCCCCCGACAGCCCTGCCAACTTCGGTGTCTTCGACAACGTCCTCGAGGCTGTCAAGGCCGCCGTTGCCAAGGAGCTCGGCGCCGACTTCCAGCTGAAGTGGAACCCCAAGGTCAACCCCGTCCTGCACGGTGAGGCCACCTCCGCCATCGAGTAAATAAGTCAAAAGACAAACTCTTTGGGATATCTTTTCACGCTGAAACGAAACACAAAAACAATGTGCTGCTCTATGCTAGGGCTGAAGGATTCCTTATTTCTTCCGTGGCGTTTTTCCCTTTTTGATGTCATGTCATTTCATAGACTTCTTTTCTTCCCCCACCGTCCCTCTCATGCATGTTCCCCTTTGGCTATTTCCTTTTGGTTGAAATTCTGGGGTTCTGGGATTTAGGACTTCTGATATCCTTTGTCACGTCGTGGAATCTGTTCCATTTGAACCAGACCAAACGACCTGAGAGAAGACCGAATCTACTTTTCCATTTCTACTTTTTGATCTGCAAAGTGATCCGGTCGGTGGTTTCGAACTTCTGATTTTCTTCCCTCCATTTTTTAGACTGGACTCTATTCCCATCTCATGTGCCATGACGCGAACAAGATTTCGCTTTTTTGTTATTTGACCTTTTTTGACATGCATTTTTTCCGCATGCAGTTGTATTCCCAGAACTGCTCCAATACCATATGTCAAATTTTTTTTTCATTCTATGGTGTGTGGCTTTTACCGTAATTTTTCTTCATACTTCGCACTTGGGATTCGTTCTTCAGTCGTTGACGACATCATGATGTCTTAATCGTTCTTATCGGTGAACTCTATCCTACGGACGGCCTTACTTGTATTTTCATGTCTATAATTTCACCTAGACACATAGTACACCATTTCACAATTTCACTATAGATGTATATCTACACCCGATGTCCAAACACGTACCATCTAGAGTAGATGTCCAGAAAACCCAGGAACGTAAGACAAGGCGAAAAGAGAGCCCCTTCTAGAACCCTAAACCTTAAGATATGGGGAAAGCCAAAAGACAGACCTAAACATTTGTCTCTTATTTGTAATTCTCCTATGTAAAAATCAAGACGAGGGGAAATAATAAATAAAAGAAATGCATCTAACCGTCTAAGTGGCCAACATCCCGTATTCCACGCGGAAACCCAGGAAGCCGGGAACCTGACACGCCACACCACGCCACGCCACGCCACGCCTTGTTTGACTCAGGTAAATGTGGATCTACAAAGCATATTTTCCTTTTCCAGGAAAGGAGGATGTTAATGGGAAGTCTATGGAAGAAGATCTGGATCTGGATATGAATCTAGATCTAGAACCCATGTTGTTTGTGATATACATGTCTCCCAGAAACGAGGTCGCGGGACGCCTTGTTTCGTCTATATGCAAGCTAAAGTGTGGCGTGTTTTAGGTGTTTGTCTCATTTTTCGCTTTGTTGCAGACGCCGCTTGCCTCTGCTAATGCAGGGGATATATGGAGTACCCGTATATAAGCTTTTCTTTGATACGTATGGATACGACATCCCTGGATATGGAATGGTACAGTGACAACATGGGACGGGGCTGTATTTTTTAATGGTTTTTGAGGATCTTGGTATTGTTTTGTGTTTGTATAGAAGGTAGGGTTGGTTTACTATAGGTCAGAAATGAAGGGGGTTGTCCAGGTGGTCTCTTCTATTATCTCTAGGTACGACTTAGACTGACTGACTGCAATGCATATTGATTAAAGCAAACATTGTTGCGGATTGCGGTATCATCGTCGTTCTATATGATCGTACTTTGGATTTTGACATATGTGTTAAAGGATGCCATCTTTCATGGAAATAATAGGGAGCAGCTACATTTAGATTTAACTTAGTTTGCTTCATGCACCTCGCAGATTTTGTCAACCCAAGAAATATGTAGGGTGGTCAGCCGATTTAAACGTCGGCTATCACAATCAAGCCCATAGACGCCCACGAAGGGAACAAAGAGAGATGTTGACCGAGTACCTAATCGAAAGACACGGCCCATCTGTGGGAGGTATTCCTACCGTCTTTCTCCGTGAATTGGGTCATTATCAAAGGATGAAAACTGCGGTTCTTGATACATGTTAGTATGGTCACAAGTATTCAAAGAACCAGATATATCGTAAGTATCGTGCCATGTTGATTGCATACAACGGCAATTCTTCTTTTCAGGATCTTCACAAAATTTCAACATTCCCAAGTAACTTATGGGCTTGTCAGGTAATAGGAAACGCTTAAGATAATGATCATCATAGAAGCAAAGCGGGAACATAGTTCTCGCAACGCAAAATGTAGAACAAGAAAGGAAAATGCCCAACTCACAGTTCCACATTAACAAATCATTGCACTATAGAATGATCTGCTGCGCTTGTTAGGTAGCATGGCAAATCTGGGCGCCAAGACGAAACGGACCGCTAAACATTGGCGACGCAAAAGTAGAGCAAGGAGAAAGCAACTCCTGTCGAGCCCGCAATCCAGAGACCTTGGCAACACCATTTCCGCGGAAATATTGCATCTGACTCCTAACAAGGCTTGGCCGGCATGCAGTCCAACCCTCCCATGCGGGATTCACCCCAATAGATATGGATAGCTGGCTTGCGAGGGATTGGTGAGTCAAACGACGTCAAATAGGCGTCAAGCCTTGGGAATTGGACTATGTCACGCTGGTTCCAGGTGGTGGTGCTCTGCGAGAACTAAGCCTTCGCCAATTCTGCTGCGCAAGTTGCACAAAACGTGCTGTGTGAGTTAGCACCTGGCTTCTCGTTTGCCAGTGCCAGGATATAGGAATGTAGGTATGCTGGGCAATGGTGCGTTGTTCAAGGTGAAGGGGAGAGACAGCAAGTACAGGAGAGGTGAGGGAAGCCAAGTGGAGCATATTAAGCCATGTAGGAGCCATGGGGGGGGCTTGGCTTGGACGATCGACTCGATCGTCATGCTTGGGTCGTCAGTCGGAGACTAGCGAGGAATAATGTCGGTGAAGGAGATGCCTAGAGGCTGGGTAGAGGATATAGAGGGTCCAGCCCTAGACTAGTAGACTAGACTAAGGAGGTGGAATGCCGAGTCTAATAAACAACGAACTTCGACGTTGTATGTTATGTCATGCAAGGGACACGGACCTCATCAGGTGACAGCGTGTGAGCGTGTGTTGGGGTTCTCATTATGTAATGGCGCGTGTCTCCCCGCATCATCACGACAAATAGCGTTGGAGGTGCGTTGGGAGTGCAGGGATGCTAGGGTTTTGTTAGGTAACTAGAACTCCGATGTCTGGGGAACTGAGGGCGGATGCATCGGATTTGCAATGATCGGCTGACCTTGTAAATAAGTACAGTAATAAGCAACTTGGGTTGATGCACTTGGAACCTTGGAGAACACCTCGGAGGCGCTAAAAAGGTTTCGGATTATGTCATAGAATTGGAGTGCCTTGACTTTTACAAGCAATGAGTTATACGAGTACTGACAATGAACTGAGATATAATTAATAGGCAATTATAATTCCAGTAAATAGATAGATACATCGATATCTTCCAATGTTATTTGTTCAGATGTCAAGTCCGAATCCGGCGAGTCCCATACTTTCCGCATGCATATAAAAAAAAAGGAACAAAGCCGCTCCAAAGGTAAAAAAGGGTAATCTACAGGGGTAGCTTGGGGAACTAAAAGCAACTAGATGAATAAGAATTAAGACTAGAAGAGCAGAAATAAAATAAAAATAAAATAAAATAACATCCGAACATACGTAGAGGATCAACAACTCAGATCCGCCACCACAGTTCTTTAAGAAAAAGTTTTGCCCCATGTGGCTATGATCCCGTGCCTTCAACCTCTGACTCTTCAACTTCTACAAACCTCCAATCTGAAGCCTCTCAAGCCAAACCAACACCGATCGGGAGCTCTGCCGTGCAACAGCGGACCACGGGTTTTCCGTGACTAACAGCTTCGCATTTTTTCTCTCCCCCCGCCCCTCTACAAGCCCTAAACACCCGTTAATCCACGGTGTTAATATCTGTTTCTAGTGACCGGGCTCACTTTTCTCTCTTTTTTTTCCCTCTGGAATCTGGGGAAGCTTTTTTACTTTCTTAATTTCGGTAGAATTTTTTTTTTTTCGTGGTCCACTCCAAGGTCCCGACTAGTCCACTGTAGGGCCCTTTATAGAGGGCCTTACCCTCCTCACCATGGCTTCCGTTACTTCCCCTTCGCACTCCAAGCCTCCCTTCCCACACCTCACTTCTGTTCCTTGTGGTGACCATTACCACTCCCGCGACTCCTCTCCCTCGTCTTGTGGCACCCCCGACGGGTCCAGGTCCAGCAGCCAGCGCCGCACGTCTTTCGGCTCCATCAAAGAGGACGTTGAAGACGGTACGTATAGAGATGTGCGAATTAAGACCGAAGACTGACGTGATCTCTGGGATTAGGAATTGCGCAATCGTTCGTGGACAGCCACCAACCCCCATCTCCCCAAGAGCCCAAGGCCGAGCGCAAGGTCGAGCGTCCCGGCTTTGAGATGCAACAGGCCCCGGATTTCTGCTGCCCGTGTGGTGGATTCCTGGGGTGGAAGCAAATTCGACTGGGGGGCAAGAGTCTCAGCCGCAGCTACAGTGATCTCCGCGGATTGGGCCAGTTGCAGGCAAAGGGCTGGGCATGGGAATCGCATGATCATGATCATCAGCCACAGCAGCTGGCTCCTCCGAAGGAGCCTGAGGTAGAAGTGCTGCAGACCCCGCCTGGCACTTCACTTCTGGAGAAACTTCCCCCAGAAGTCCTCGGTTAGTTGGGTTGGCCCATTTATATTTTTATATACTAACTTGTCTAGATCAAATCATTTCTAACCTGGCACTGGATCTCCCACCCAATGGCTACACACCTCGGAACGTTGATTTGGTCTCATGCCTTCTTGCATCGCACACACTACACGCGGCTACACTCGGCGTGTTGTACAGGAACATGACTTTCCCGCACTCGATCATCTTCTCCAAGGCTCTGAACCATATTGCGCAGTACCCAGCTCTCGGCACACTCGTGCGCCGCCTGGATTTTTCGCACTTTACTTCCGTCGGATTAGGCCGCACCAAGCAGATGAACGCTGAAATTCAAAACTTGACCTCGCGAACCCTCCTGCAGTGCTTGGACCTCTTGCCCAACTTGAAGGAATGCTTGCTGCAGGAACACCTCGAGGGAGATATTAGCGTGGATGTCATTCGGAAGTTGTTTATGGGATTGCCGAATTTGCGCGCTGTGGATTTCTGCGGTTGCTCCACTCAGTCTTTCTCCGCGGTCTTCCAAGAGGCCCTAGTCGGTGGACCCGCACTGCCGATGACCTTGCCTAACCTGAAACGGCTCTCGCTCCATGAGTGCAGCACTATTCCCACTCCTATGTTTGACCATCTTCTCTCGCGATTGGTCAACTTGACGCACCTCGATCTGACCCACACCCAAGTCAACGAGTCTGCGCTTACCCTCATTCCTGAGACAGCTCGCATCTCCCACCTGAGCTTGTCCCGATGCACCCGCCTTCGCCCTTCGGCCTTGGTGGAGTTCTTGACCACTCACCCATCCGTCAATGAATCTCTTGTGTACTTGAACCTGTTGACTGACCCGACCCGTTTCCGTCTTCTGGAAGAGGAGGATGTCTCGGCACTGCTGCCCAAGCTTCCGGACACTCTCCGCTCTCTCAATCTGGGCGGTGCAAAGGTCACCTCGGATCACGTCCCATTGCTGGTCCCTCTGACCAAGCACCTACACGAGCTGGGTCTGAGCTCAGCCGACCTCTCAGTCCAGGATGTCAACTGCTTCTTCACGCGGTACCAGGACCCCGCAACAGGAAAGGAGAACAACGAGCCCAGCACTCTCTGCTATCTTGATCTCGCCAAGGTGCCACAGATGACCATCGGAGCCATCTTCAACACAAGCACCTGTCTCTTACTCTCGAACCTGAGCTACCCCCTGCAAGTCATTGAGTTCAGTGACAAGATCATTACACCCTTGCGCGAGCGGGCCAAGACCCAGCGCGTCTCCGTCGGATGGACAGTGCGAGACCTCGGCCGACGTGGCTGGTACGTCCGTGACCCGGCTTCTATCCCCGAACAACCCCTCGACGATGGCTCCCGCTACTGGAAGATGGGCGCACGCTGGTGGGGCATGCGCAAGATCCCCATGGCAGTGGGCGACGTCGGCGGCCTCTACGGTCACTACATGTTCAAGAAATGATCTGCAAATGGCTTGAGCGTTCTGTTCTAAAAGCGTGCTCGCTGGATCTTTATTTTTGCCGATACCCTTGGTTTGAATCTTTCTCATTTTTCTCGATTTTGCGTTTTCTATGGGAGGATTGCTTCTGATCATGCCTTTCTTCATTGCTTTTTTTCATTGCTAATCTATTTTCCTTACTTTTTGACGATCATGAATGTTGGTATCCGGTCTATGCATGGTGGCGCGAAACATGGTTTACGAATTTCGGCATTCTGGCTCCTGGCTTTCGGGTTCGTGCTCTCGGTCGCGTCTATTTGGTTTTGCATAGCATCGTGGGATCTCGTCAGCGGTGTGTTTTTTTTTATGCTCATACTGGCTTTGGAGTTGATGTACTTACAATCTGGATTTCATCTCTACTCATAAAGTATTTTACCTTCACTTTTTATCTCTTGGTTAGTATTAGTAGTAAGACAACCATGCCGAACTGGGGAACAAGTTGCCGTCATCGTTTTACGCACATATTACTTTGACTCTCCGGAAGAATATAGCCAATAGGTAAGTACAGGTCGAGTAATAGTAAGCTTCGAAAATGTCATGATAAAAACAAAGACAAGTAGATTGCCATTCGGACGAATAACGACAATTTGGATATGACCGGATAAGCAGACACGTTTCCAATAAAAACATCTAATAGAACAGAATCTATTGCACATTGAGGAGACCCCTCCCTAAACAGCAATCCCTCAAATAATCAATAGAATCTTAGGGCATCAACTCACAGGTGACGCTTGGCACATGTCATGTGATGAATCCAGAAGAGCCGCATTCTCATCCATCACTTTCACCTCGACAACTCTCCCAGTCACGAAGGCCCTAGACCTTGCTCACCTCACTTCACCCTTGGGGAGATTTTCTCTCATCCCGATGGGTGGTTCCAGTGTCACCTCGCAGGACAGTGGAAGCTGTCAACACACGCGACGATGGCACCTCCGAGCGGAGCGGCCGCGTACAAGAAGACAGACGGCTCCTTGACCATTTCCGCTGACGAGCAGTCTGTGTCATGGACTCCTGCTGCAGCGGGTGCTGCTGCCCCCATAACTATTTATGTGGCCAATATTTCCAGTGAGTGGATTTGGATTTGGATTGCTTTGCCTTTGTCATTTTTGCCTTTCGCTAACGGCAGGATGTGCCGTCCAGATTTACAACAAACACCGGCTTCCAAACCGAAAGTCATGCTGAAGATCTTTGCCCGAGCTCCTGATTCTCCTCCTGATAGTACACCCGAGGCATATGTTTTCCAGTTTACGGGTGGAGCAGATGCCCGCCCGCAGGCTGATGCTATCAAAGAAACACTCAGTGCCCGGATTAACACATTACGATCGCAAACACCCTCACAGACACCGGCGCCGGGTGGAAGTGGGAGCGGTGAGGGCGTGTCGGCAGCGATGGCAATTGCGAATGCCGTCACATCTGCGGGGACATCAAAGAACCCACTAGACGATGAGAACAAGCTTCGAACCAATGGCGAGTTGCAGCAGTCATTACTGAAAGCAGATTCGAATCTCCGCCGGATGTTCACCGAGGGATTAAATACAAAACCTGATGCGTTAACGTCTGGTCAGTTCATGTCACAGTTCTGGTCGACGCGGCTGCATTTGCTGCGTGCGCATGCTATTGAGCAGAGCCAGATGCGCGGCTCGTATAATGTACTTTCATCGCTGAAGCCGCGTGTTGAGGGTGATAATGTTACTCGGATGAATATCAGCAAAGAGCAGATTGCGCTTATCTTTTCGCAGCATCCGCTGGTTAAGCGTGTTTATGATGAGATTGTGCCGAAGCTCAACGAGCAGCAGTTTTGGTCGCGGTTTTTCCAGAGTCGGCTTTTTAAGAAGCTTCGTGGAGAGCGGATCTCTGATGCTGATGCTACTGATGCTATTCTGGATAAATATCTTCGGACGGATGATGCTGCTCGGCCAGGTCGTGACGGTAATGTTCATCACTTTTTGGATCTTGCGGGTAATGAAGGCAATCATAGCCAGCGGCGTGGCAACCGGCCGGATCTTGATATGAGACCGTCTGGTATGGATAAAGTGCCTATCATTCGGACGTTGAATAGCCTGAGTGAGAAGATCATGGCTAATGTGGCACCATCCGATGGTGATATGAGTGCGCCCATTGGTTTGAATGAGGAGGCGTGGAAGAATCTCCAGTTGCAGGATCTCCGTGGAGATGAAGAGCAGAGCCGGATCACATTGAATATTCGCGACCAGAGTCGGTTCTTCTCCAGTACACAGGAAGAAGACAAGAGCAAGCAGTTTGCCCAACAAGACCCGGACCAGCTTTTACAGACTCTTCGCGCAGAGATCGCTCAGGATCTCCCGCCACAAGGAAACACCCAACTGCGTCTACTGGTCGATCCCGGCGATGACGAGGACGAGGAAATGGAAGACGCACCCGCCAGCCGGCGGCCGGTAGGGTCTTCCGCCGCTCTACACGACTCCTTCGCCCAGATCCTGGAAGCAGTGCGCGACCGACGTGCCCAACTAAACGAACAATCAACCTCAGAGACTCATGGCCTCTCAATAGCCCTCTTCGACCGATTAACCCTGACACACGCCACAACCACAGAATTTCTGCACCAATTCTGGCAAGCATACTTATCAGGCAATCCGGACCGCGCTGGAGAAGTCGCATCACTAGCCGAGTCTCTTCAGCGAGCATCAGAACGAATCAAAGCTGTTGCAAATGACGCAGAAGCCGATCGCAAGGTCGAGGTTGACCGGCTAAAGCAGCACGCACGCGACGTGTTCGAGCGTACTCAGCGCAAGATCCGGCCTAGGCTTGATGATGTGGGGGGTGGTCAGAAGGTCGTCAATCAGCTCCTCGGACCTACGCTCCATGCACTGGATGTCGCTTTGAATCGATACCAGGCGGAATTGGCTGAGCAGAACAAAGAGGCGGCTGCGATGGCTGCGTAGAGATGAGATGAGATGCAAAAGGATTATTGGCGTTTTGCTGGGCTTGATTGTATACTATAATACCTTGAAGATCTTTCTATACAAATGCGAACAGAAAAGCATATCAAAAGCAAAGCTGTAGATTGTACTCAGAAGCTAAAAAAATAGACTAAAATCTCGGCATGCCGAGGTACCCCAGACTTCGGGTCCATCCACTTCCAGCCAACTGTCCCCTCAACTTCATCTACTCACCTTCGCCTCCACCACCACCACAACTACCACTACCACTACCACCAACCCCGAATGAAACAATCATACACCCCATAACCACCCCCACCTTGAGCCCATTTTCAGCCCTCACCAAAAAGGCTCAAAACCCAAAATGCTCACCTCCGGCCTAACAAACACACCCCTAACGAAACTCCTCCTAATCTACACAATCGCCTCCTCAGTCGCCCTCTCCCTCTTCGACATAAAACACCTCGTGACAATCTTTGTCTCGCCCCATTTCTGGCCCTACGCTCAATTCTGGCGCGCGGCAGTATGGCACCTAGTCGGCTTTGCCAATTCCACTGAGGCGCTCTTTGCTTCTATGCTTGTTTATCATTTGAGGGTTGTTGAGCGTGCGTGGGGGAGGAGGAAGATGGCGGTTAGTTTCCCTCACCCCACCCTCTGGAATCTAGCATGGATGGAGGGATTGGATTGAGAATCTGCCGGTTACTGATTCAAGACGCTGTATAGACCTTCCTCCTAACAACGCTCCCATACACAACTCTCCTCCCACCCCTCCTCCTCTCCTTCCTCCTCCGCCCTCTCTCACTCAATAACCTCAATTATCTACCATCCGGCCCGACGGCTCTGATCTTCGCCCTGTTGGCGCAGTATCATGCGAGTATCCCGCATACATATCGGTATCGGATTGGGACGACGACGACGTCTCCTGCTGTTGCCGCCACCACTACAGAAACAGACAACAATGAAACACAGACCGCAGATAACCAGCGCAAACCCCCGAAACCAAGCCTGACTCTCCTCCTCTCCGACAAATCAACAACCTATCTCGTCGCCGCTCAACTTGCCCTCTCCCAATTTCCTGCTATGCTGCTACCAGCTGCGCTAGGGTGGATTGTTGGATTTGCTTGGCGTGCTGAGATCTTACCTGGTCTTTCGCCTGCTGCGAATGGGTTTAGGGTTCCTGCTTGGGTTGTTGGGGAGAGGGAGCGGAGGGGTACTGCTGGTGCTGGTGGGGAGAGGGAGAGGTATGAGGATTTGAGGAGGAGGTTGGAGGGGGAGGCTGCTGCTTCCGCTGAGGCTTCGGGGTTGGATGGGGGTGGGGCTGGACGTGGTGTTGATAGGCGGAATGAGACTGCTGCTGTTGTTGATCGGTTGAGGGGGGATTGGTAGATCTGTTTGCATTTTGGTTGCGATTTTTGCTAAGGGATAAGATCGTTTACATTTCTACTTATACATTCGTGTTTATGGTTATGGCCTTGCTATCTGGTATAGCTTGTATGGCAGATAAATTGGCCCTGTCTCCGTAGTCGTTCTAAGATATAGTTTACTAGTATGCATTATCCATGCTATGCTGGTGTATTGGATATCAAGTAGGGTTGAGGTTGAAGTGGCGGCTTCTAAAGGATGAACCATGACACCGCTAGAACAAGAGAAGCCCATGTAAGACAGGAAAAAGGTAGAACACCACATAAACACCATATCAGTCATATCTAATGCAAAGCTTTGCCCTGGAGGAACCATGACCATAACCATAACCATCACCATCACCATCAGCGGCCATTGCGGCTCCGTCGCATATTTTCCTTACACTCATTGCAATACCATTTAACTGCAAAACGATTAGCATCACCCATCCCACGAGTAAGCCAAGAAAAGAAATAAACATACCATTCTTCCCAGGTGGTTTGGTCAAGCCCACACAAGACAAATGGAACCATTCGCGCGGGCAGGCGTCGTTATCACAAGCGACCATCTCACCGAAACTGATCTCGTTACAGTAACAGTACCGCGGCTCGCCCTCTTCGTCTTCGTCGTCGCCTTCATGGAGGGACTCGTCGTCGGAGGGTATGGCGGGTGGTGGGATAGGTTTCTTCTGTGTGCGCTTTGTCGAGGCAGGGTCTTGGCTTCTTGTTGGTCGTGCGCGTTGCTGGGTTGGTTCATATGTCGAGAGGACTGGTGTTGAGGTTTTAGATGTGCGTCCTTTGCTTGCTTCGTTTTCACCCGAGTCGGCTTTGCCGTCCAGGTCTTCCCGTTTGGATCCGGCTGGTACTGATGTTCGTGCGCTGGAGTCTTCGTAGTCGCGGTGGAGGTCTGCGACGAGTTCGTTCTTGATTGAGCCGTCGCGGGGTATCGATCTTGAATCGATGGTTTTGTCTGTGGAGGAATAGAGTTAGTGGGTAGGCTTGAAGTAGGGGGGGAGATATGATGACGTACTGTTGTTTGGCTGGCCAATGCGGTTTGAGGCCGAGGATGATGGCCGTTGTCGTGCGTTGCTTGTTGATCCGGCATTTTGCTGAGTCCGTGAAGATTGTGGCCTCGACGTGGGACCTGGGCTGGCTGCCACCCGCGGGGCATTGAAAGTTCCAATCAATGGCGATGGGGCCAAGACAGGCGATCCAGCATTTGATGCATTGGCCCTGGAATAGCGTTAGTTTAGTGCATTGTGGGGTACGGTAGGGCAAAACATACTTCTTGCGCGCAGCAGCAGTCGGATTCGGTGCGCGAGACCGCTTCTTCTCCGCGGGGTCCTTGTTTGCGGCCCTCTGGCTCTGTGCACCGCTAGCAGACCGTTCCATTGGGATACTCGCGTCTACAGGGAGTGCTGGGCGTTCCACCTTCCGACGCTTGGGTGCAGCGCTCGGATCAGCTGTGTTATCGCCGCCACGAGATTTCCCATTATTGGTCTTGCGAGCACCGGAGCTCCGTGATTCCTCATAGTCTGCATCAACATGCGCACGACGTTGCTTCCGCGCCAATACAGCTTCGCGTCGAGCCTCGCTGCGGCTAGCGGCTTCAGCTTCGTGAAGTACGTGCGATAGATCTTGTCTGTGGTTGACTGCTTCGCGGCGGGGGCGCTCGTTGGTCGCTGCCTTCGCGGCGGTCTTGTTGGAGTAGGCCCAGTGGGTCAGACTGCCCAGGCGAGCTTCTTCGCTGATCTCACCTGCAATGTATGGGAATACGGTATCCAGCCGGACGACTTGGCGGTCCAATTCCTCGTTCGCGTTCGAAATGACGTGGTTCTTCTCGTCGGCGGTCATCATTAGGTCGGAGAGACTCTGTCGTACACGATCAAAGAGAAGCCGGCGACTTTTGCTTTCGGACGATTCGGGTGTTTGAGAGAGATCCTGGCGCAAAAGGAAAAAAAAGCATTAAACCAAATATCCACGTAGATGAAGCAGATTGAAGAGTCGACTTACCTGGGGCAATACATCCTCACGAACCACACCCCCGACGATAGGCGCGGGATGAGGAGGGTGAGCCACCGGCTGCGACTCGGAAGAATGCTCAAGCAGCTGGAGCAGATTTTCCTCGAGAGCCCATGCCTTCGCATCAACCTCCTTTAGTAAAGAGTTGTGGCGTCGAAACTCGCGAGGAAGCGCAGTGATAGCGTCTGTAAAATGCGTGAGAGCAGGGTAGAAGCCGTGCGGCACAGGGGGCGCGGAAGGAATTTCAGCAGTCGAGCCTCGGCCGAACGCGAAAGAGGATCGTCCGATGGTTTTGGAGGTTCGAGACGGGTTTGTTCGTGTCTGACGGGCCGACTGGCGTATTCCCTGGCCCTGGGGGTTCATGGCTGACGATGAGACGGCGGACATTGTGAATGGGAGAGTCGGGACTGGGAGCTGCGCCGTTGGGAGGGTTCGGGGGGTCTAACCCAATTTTAGGGCAGAATGGGACGATGTGGACAATCAATGGTAATCAGCAATGACCTGTGAGCATTTACAAGAGCTAACACCTCATGTAACACTCGGAGGGCATCGATGCAAGAGAACTGCCTCTGGCAAGTTTGAGTGCGGAGAAGAGCAATCGGATCAGGTGAGATGCGGCCTGTGGGATCAGGCACCACTTTGCTGAATCATCAGTGCACATGGGTGACATCATTTCAGGCACGAAGTATACCGCAGTCAAGTCAAGTGAAGTGGATATTAGTAGAGCCTCGGGTATGTGACTACTTAATTATATGCCAGGAGCCTCTCGCACATAAACCCGTTGGGATGAAATGCTACTGTCTTACAGTACGTCTCGAAACTGGTGTCACCACGTACGCTCTTCGATTGTTTTCTGGAACCCTATACTATACCTGTATCCTTCTGGATACAGTACACACCCCTTGATTATTACATGATTCATGTCTTGTAACTGTATGTCCAGTTCATAGTAGCCTCGCACTAGAATCCCGCACTCGCCGAGATCACAGAACTGAGCTTACCTCACGTTCTCGAATGGCTCTCTTGCCGAAGCAGACAGTTTTCTTTTGATTGACCGCACCGTTCGGACAACAAGCACACCAATATGGACATCGTAGCTTCTGCTCAAGCCGCCGCGACGCTAGCTGGCATGTTTCTCGAAATTGTACAGGTCACAAAGCATGTTATCGAGAACATGAAAGGAGCACGAGCTAGTCTAGTGGAAAGGTTCACTCGCGCAGAACGCATCCGTCTAAACCTGGAGCTCTTCCGTTCGCTCACTAACAAACTTTCTGACCCGATAGAGGAAACCACTGCCCTTTCATTCAATGAGAGTGTATATAGGATAATCTACATAACAGAGTTCCTCTGCCGGGTGCGGCTAGGAGACATCTAGCGGTGGCAGTGGCAACGGAGTAACAACGACGACTGCTCACACCTCAAGGAATATCACCAGCAAAGCCTGAGCTACAAAGACAGAGGATTAGTCACAATACGAGCCGACAGTTACTCCAACCTGCATTTCAGACGCCTTATGTCTTTCAGGAACATCTCAATATGCCCAATTCGATCAATCACGGGATTTAATTATCGACACGGATTTATACACGACGTACGTCATGCCCTTCATATGCAATATGCAATATAAAGTGATGTGAAAGGTGGAAACAGTGGAGAATGCTACTACGATGGTAAGGGTCCTCTAATAGGCAGTGGCTGTCAGCTCGCGGTCGAGGGTTACGATATCGTTTGTGAGATTACGGGCAAGAGCCTGAAAGCGTAAGTTAAGTTTTCATATGGACTCCTTCGCCCTTTGCTATTGTCGTTTTCTGACCCCAGAACCAGTGCATATGACACGATTCGCGACAAATGTGGAACCAAATGTGGTGTTGCCGAATTCGGGAATGACTGTCAGGTCGGGATGGCGACTTGGGAGGATGGATCATGCGGCACGACTGCTAAGGGTGGCATTGACCTGACCAATCCTGCTAATTGGAACTGAATTGGCGAAAGGACAAACTAATGATGTTGTTGTTGTTGTTGTTGTTGTTGTTGTTGTTGTTGTTGTTGTTGTTGTTGATGATGTGTCTGTAGTAGTAGTCTCCCACAATAAATTTTTCATTTTTGAGACCGCCCACTGTCAAAATAATCAAAACACGAGACTAGTCTGCACAGACTTAGCTGCTGATGCTATTGTGCATAGGGAAAATATCTAGGCTATATAGCGGATGGTCTTTAACCCGGCCAACACAGTAGTTTCTCTCAATCCAAGTATTACCAACTCACCCACAATCCAATTTCTTTCGGTTTTCACGTATAATGTCTTTAGAATACCGGTCATTCCATACTTTCAGAAACTTCAATCTCCTAAATTGTATAAAAGACGTAAAGTTTGACCACCATTCGGGCTTAGAAATATCCCGAAACGGGCAGAATTCACGAGCTAACCTGAGCCCACGAATCAAGTTCCCGCCTTATCCGTCTCACGTCCTAGAACCGTGTCACTGCCATGAATTCAAAATGTCCATGTCAGCTGCGTCGAACGAAGTCATCATTCTGATTGCGCAGCAATTACAATCGCAAGCAGATCTCGCTGCGCTGGTGCAGGTTAACTGCCGCCTCAATCACCTTATAAAGCACATCTTATATCAATACAACCTACAGCAACGGAACGGGGATGGTATTCTCCAGGCAGCCAGGCTAGGATTAACCCCTGCGGTAGTCCAATTTATCAAAGAAGGATACCCTGTGGAAGACCGACCAATCCATGCCGAGGAACACCCAGCACGACCTGGATTTCTACGGTGGGACCCGTGCTCATGTCGACTGGAGCAGCCTATTCTTTGTGCTGCAGAATATGGACATTCGGAGCTTGTGAAATATCTTCTACGCGCAGGCTCCGGACCAGATTTTGAGAACAACCTAGGCGAAACGCCTATGCATCTAGCAGCGAAAAACGGGTTCCTCTCGGTTATCAAGGTCCTGCTCGAAAAAGGCTACACCATACCATTCCTCATGGATAACGACACCAAATTCACGTTGGCTCCTATCAAAGAGGCTGCTTTGAAAGGACATACGCATGTGGTCGAACATTTATTGTCCTATGCTCCAAGCCCCCGTGACTATGCTTCTTCGACCCTTCCATTTGCCGCTATTTCCGGTAACATAGCCTTGGTATCTATGCTCCTTGATCATGGGGCAGACATCAACTACAAGTACATTGAACGCCATGCTCCTAGGATGGCTCTATACCCACACGATGAACGAGGGCACGTATCGACTGCTTTATCAGTAGCAGCCAGACTCGGGCATCTGGATCTGGTGACCTTTTTGCTTGCTAACGACTCTGACGTTGAAGTCACAACGGGGGCGTCTAGTCTCTGGGAGACCGCCTTGTACCTGGCAATTGCGAAAGGCCACGAAGAGGTCGTTGAGGTGCTTTTGGCTCACGGTGCTGATGTCGAAGGTGGACATATCAGTGCTGCTATTGAGCAACGCAACAAGAAATCACTAGAGATGCTCATCACCAAGTACGGAACCGAAAACTGCCAGACCAATTTCCTGGAGCTCGCAGCAGAGGCTGGCGACATGGAAATATTCCAGATCTTATTCGATAAAGGCTTCGAAGACCAAGAAAGGGCTTTCCTGAAAGCAATCGAATGCGGTCAAGAGGAAATCGTCGCCCTTCTTCTGTCACGAGGAACAGATCCTGATTTACCAACCATCCGTGAGTGTGCAATCGGCAAAGCAATCGTCCATCGTAATGTCGGCATCATGGAATTACTATTATGCCATGGCGCTCACATTTACCCCGAAACCTTACGAGGCGCAAAAACTTTTGCCCCTGGGCATATAGCAAAGTTGGCAGAACAGTTTCCTGTGCATTCCCTCGGGAAGAAGGCCATGTATCCGTCTATCTATCAGCCCTCGAGGGAGGGGGGGAGATCATGGGATAATGATTGGGGGTCCACCCAGAGGAGACTTTGGTGAAAGCAACCGAATACCCTGTGCTGACATGAGATTCTCGACAGACAGAACCCCCTCGTTATTTGTATCGCCGTCGTTCCGTGAGGGCAAAAAAAAGAATCAAAGAAAACCGACCACACGATATGACAAAATCCATCACTGGACATACCATCCACATTTAATTCTACGATTACCTCCCTTGGTAGATTGAAATACTACACCTCGTACGCTACTTAGTATTACAATTAGGCTTCTACACGACCCAATTGGACCCGGACCAGTTTTGGGTTGGGTTTTGGGTCCTAACCTCGGACCTAAGATATGTTTTAGGTTATTCTAGGTGACCTAATAAAAACCCTAGGTACCTAATCGGGTAACAAATATTATAAATACACGCTTACTGTTCGGGGAAGTGACACAAGCAAGCAAGAATATCATGTCAGCGACAGATATAGGAATGTAGAAGACGTATCTCCAACCGAGAGCTGCCGTCAAAAAGCCCCCTGTGATCAGGTCAAGTGAGAATTCAATCCCAACAAGGCCCTAAAGAGAGTCACAGCGATTAGACTGTCTTTCTCGACAAAGAAATCGGCGATAATACCCAGCGCAGAAGGAATGGGAATGCATACGCGCCCGCCACTATGATTTTATATTGCTACCGAATTAAGGTCCGACTAGTTACCGCTAGCGAATAGTAATGACCGAGCACTATATACTAGCACAGCCCCTAGGTTCTTCGGAGGACTAGCATTCAGCCTCTCTCTTTTCAAAAAGCATATACGTCTACCTACGCACTATACTGTAGTTCTTGAGAACAAGGTGGGAGTCTAAATGCGAAATCAATCCTAGGAAAAACGAGCAGGGCTCCGCGTAAACCAACTAGTGCCTTTATTTTACATATAACTTAGATTTTAGGATAGACCGGGATCCCGTGTGAGAAACCAAGAGTGGCCCGATACAGCAAATCCAAGACACGGCGTATACACCATCGAGAAAACAAAGTAAATCGATACAATAATGAAAAGATAAGGTGGTACAAAGTAAACAGACGCTAGCTCCTATAAGAACCGATGAGATAGGAAACCAAACTCAACACAGGTGACAGTGTCCGAACACTTTCAACTTTCTAGAGTTCAAACTAGATCGCAAAGAAGGGAAAGGCGTTTACTCGCCCTTCAGGTGTTCCTGATGGATGGAGAAAGCATCCGCCAGGAAGTCCTCCTCCTCCTTCAAGTGAACGGCCTTGAGACCGGTGGCGACGGAGGCGGAACCAGTGCGGCCAGCGTACAGGACGTGGCGGCGGTTGTGGTGCTCGGTGGCGTTGAGCAGGCTCTCGATACGGGGCTGGGCGTAGGACCAGGCACCTGCATTGAGGGGCTCCTCCTGACACCAGACGATGTCCTTGGCGTTGGGGTAGCTGTCAAGGTTCTCCTTCAGCTGAGCCCAGGGGAAGGGGTGCAGCTGCTCAACACGGGTGATAGCAGTGTTGCGGATACCGTTGGCCTCACGGTGCTTGATAAGAGCAGCGTAGACCTGGCCAGAGCAGAGAACAACGCGCTCGATCTTCTCGGGCTCGTCAACGGAGGTACCGTGGCCCTCTTCGGGAATGATCCACTGGAAGTGAGAGTCACCGGTCAGGGCCTCAATGTCGGAACGGGCAATGGGGTGACGCAGCAGAGCCTTAGAGAAGAAGATGACCAGAGGCTTACGGAACTGGCGGTGGATCTGGCGACGGAGGATGTGGAACAGGTTGGCAGGAGTGGTCATGTTGACAATCTGCATGTTGCAGTCCTGGTGTTGGCGGTCGAGCTTGTCAGCCGAAGGGAAGACGCGGGGCTCCTCGTTGCAAAGCTGCAACCAGCGCTCCATACGACCGGAAGAGTGCTCAGGGCCCTGGCCATCGTAACCGTGAGGCAGGGAGACAACCAGGCCGGAACGCTGCAGCCACTTGGTTTCACCGGAGGCGATGAACTGATCAATAATACACTGAGCGTTGTTGGCAAAGTCACCGAACTGAGCCTCCCACATCACAAGGGCGTTGGGGGAGGTGAGAGAGTAACCGTACTCGAAACCGAGACTAGACAAAAGGTCAGCATCTATCCCATTAGAAGTACTGCACAATTTTAAAACTTACACGCCGAACTCGCTGAGAGAGGAGTTGGAGATGACGAAGCTACCCTGCTTGTCACTGATGTGCTGCAGGGGAGTGTAAGTGCCCTCGGCATCCTGGTCGTGCAGGACGGCGTGACGCTGAGAGAAGGTACCACGCTCAACATCCTGACCGGAAACACGGACGTGGTAGCCCTCGTCGACAAGCGAACCGAAGGCAAGAGCCTCAGCAGTAGCCCAGTCGATGTTCTTACCCTCATCGACGGTCTTCTTGCGGTTGCTCAAGATACGCTTGAGGTTGCGGTGGAGGGTGAATCCCTCGGGGACACCGCTGCCGCTGACCTTGTCAGCGATATGAGCAAGAGTCTTCTGGTTAACAGCGGTAGGCAGGTGAGGCAGGACCTCGGTAGCCAGCTCCTTGGGAGTCTTGAAGTTGTTCCACGCGGAAGTCAGCCACTCCTTGCTGGTGGGCTGGTAGTCCTTGCTGCGGTCGAAGCTGTCGCCGAGCATGCCCCAGACCCACTTCTTGTGCTCGTCGATGTCCTCCTTGGTGAAGCTGCCTTCAGCAATGAGCTTCTCAATGTACTTGTCAAGCTGAGCCTTCTGCTCGGCAATGCGCTTGTACATCAGAGGCTGGGTGAACGAGGGCTGGTCAGTCTCGTTGTGACCCTGCTTACGGTAGCAGACCATGTCAATGACAACGTCGCGCTTGAACTCGGCACGCCAGTCAGCAGCGACCTGGCAGACGTAGTTGACAGCCTCGACATCATCGGCGTTCACGTGGAAGACGGGAGCATCGATGGACTTGGCGATGTCCGAACAGTAGGGGGTGGAACGAGAGTAACGAGGATCAGTGGTGAAACCGATCTGGTTGTTCACGACAAGGTGGATGGTACCACCAGTGGAGTAAGCGGGAAGAGAGTGGAATCCCATGGTCTCGTAGACAACACCCTGACCAGCAAAGGCAGCATCACCGTGGAGCAGAACACCCATGGCGGAGTCGTAGTTGGTCTCGTCGTTGTTGTAGTGCTGGATGGCACGGGTCTTGCCGAGCACAACGGGGTCCTCAGCCTCTAGATGGGAGGGGTTGGCAACCAGAGACAGCTGCACCCGCTTACCGGAGGGAGTGGGACGCTCGAAGTTCATACCCAAGTGGTACTTGACATCACCAGAACCCTCATCGGAAGGCTCAGTGGAGCCAGCGAACTCACTGAAGATTGACTCGTTGGGCTTGCGGACAACGTTGGACAGGACGTTGAGACGTCCACGGTGAGGCATACCAATGACAATGTCCTTGATGCCGTAGTCGACACTACGGTCGATCAGCGCCTTCATACCAGGGACCAGGGTCTCGCAACCCTCAAGACCGAAACGCTTGTCGTTAGGGAACTTGGTGGCGAGGAAGGCCTCGAAGCTGGAACTCCAGATCAGACGGTCAAGGATGCGGCGCTTGTCGTCAACGGAGTAGTTGTAAGGCTGAGGGATCTCGAAGCGGTCACGAATCCACTCGCAGGGTTTGCGGTCAGGAATGTGAATGTATTCAACACCGTAAGAACCGCAGTAGATCTTTTCGCAGGCGTCAATGATCTCGCGCAGAGTCATCTTCTTGCGGCCGTCGGTGGCGAAACGGGGTAGGATACCGGGTCCAAGAGCAAACTCCTGGTCCAGGTCACGCTCGGTGAAACCATAGTGATCAAGCTCGAGCTCCTTCGGCTTGTCGTAGCCAAAGGCCTCTGCCTCTCCGCGGATACCGAGAGGGTCGATCTTAGCCTTGTGGTGACCACGGGCCTGGTAAGCGCGCACCAACAACTGAACCTTCAAGTGGTTTGTCACGTCAACGCCAGCGGAGAGACCCTCACCGGGCATATCTTGAGGGACACCTCCGGTAGGGGTGGGGACGAGGGTGGGAGGAGGAGTGAACGCCTGAGAGATGGGCATGTTACCCTCTTCCATGTTCTTGAAATAGGTCTGCCACGAGATGTGGACACTGGAAGGGTCGTTCTTCCATGCCAGGTACATTTCATCGACATAGTTGGCGGTGTTGCCAGAGAGGAAGGAATCGTTGGGGTCCTATCCGCGTAAGAGCAAAATTGCACCGTCTCGTTAGTTGAATGTCCCATTTCTCGAATTCCCCGAATCGGGGACCATTGTCGAATCGCGAGCGATCGTCACGGTTATTGTTGCTTACCACTCCCTGAGTTGTACTTTCCGCGGGGGCGGCATAGTATCTGGCACCGTTGAAAGCACGGTCGACAACAGCGAGAGGGCGACGGGCGCTCATGCTGAAGCCGGAGCTTTTTGATGCGCTGCGAGCGCTCGAGGCGAGGTGGAAGGAGCGGCGGCATGCTGGGGAGGTCGCACCACGCAGCATACCGCTGTGGGTGGCCTTCAAAGCAGTGTTTCTAAACATTGCGGGATTTTTCGTGGATCGAGGGATCCAATGAAGTTGGAAGAATCGAGAAGAGGAAAGGAGATTAAGACTGGAGATTGAGACCCTGTAAGTCAAATTAGACGTCTAAGTGAGACGCGCTATAGATAATAGTGTCAGCCGACATAACTGCCAGGGTGTTTGACCTCTGCCGAGGAAACCGGAATACGGAGGAAAGGATGAACAAGTACACGTACAAATTAACACAACAGGTGTCGACTAGTATTGCCGTAGCACCTGTAAGCAATCGGAACTCATCAGAGAGCAAAAACTCTCTAATTGGGAAAATATAGAGGGGAGAATGACGATGCGAAAGAAGCAGAAAGTCAGAGAGAAGAGAGACAGCTGCCGAGAATGACGGTTCTCACGGCAGGGTGAGGCTGGTGCGTCTTAGTCAGCCCGAGCCAGCCGATGAGTCGCCCCTGCGCCACAGTTCCCGGCTAAGGTGTCTCGGGTTGCGGGTGTTTTCGGCCCAATTGCACTACGAGGCATTTCTATTACACATTACACTACAGAGTACTATACCTAGTTATCCATCTGAGATGCTACAATAGAATGACATGGTGAA